AATGCAACATATGCAATTCTATTTCTCTGCATCTTCTATCTATGCAATTCTTCCTATCTGTTAGTCATATACTGTCTCCTTTGCGTGATTGAAATACATCCGACCTGGTACACAACATATGCACCATTCTACTTCTCAATCCATCTAAATCAGGTTAGTCATATGCTTCACCCTCTGCGAGATTGGAAGAGATCTGACCTGGGTGTATAGCATATGCATTCTAAATCTGACTTCTCCCATAATAATTGTCTGCTCACCTAAAGTAACGAGTACTTTGGAAGTTTCTGATTATTGGGGTATGTCAGGAAGCGGGAAACATGTTCTAGTACATTTAAAATTGAACAATCACTAGGTTGTCTGTAGATCTCGCTGCTCAATTTAGGTGGACAACAATATCCTTGGTCGTCATCAGATGAATGGTCCTTAGGAATTTTATCTGGAAACGTAAGGTCACAATGCCTTGTCATTTATAGTATGTCAAAAAATTTGTCACAAACATTCGTGTTTGTGGGGATCACAATATTGGCGATCGACCAGATCTAGACATGAAGGTAGAGGTACTGATAAATGGATTTGGACTGTCTAAAAACTTTGATCCCAATCTCATAAAATTTTATTAGTGATTAGTTGAAGTGAAACTAGTGTTAATTCATTTTAATTTCAAGTTTTATCTTTATGTTTATTTTTATTTTTATTTTTATTTTTATTTTATGTCTATTTTTATCTTGATAAAATTAAAAATTAAAAATTAAAAAAAAATAAAATTTAATAAAAAAAATTGTTCAGTTTAATTTTGTTTGAATTTGTTTTATTTTATTTTTATTTTTATTTTTTGGTCCTCTAAGTGTTTTATTTAAAAAAAAACATTTAAGTGTTGGGCTTGCATTTGAAGCTTCTTGGATTTGCATCTCATAAGTGATGGGCCGAGAACTGGTCCAGATATATAAGCAAGAGTACACGGCTGAGAGAGCTTTTCACCCTCATTTTATTGTCTACGGTCGTGAACTCCAAAATCTCTCTCATCCTCGATTTTTGATTCATCCCCGTTTGTGAAATTGATTGTTTCTCTTCGTCGGTATGCCTTCTGTGATCTTCATCATGCTAAAACAATCGAAAAACGACCGTGAATCGTGGCTTAATTTGAAGAAAACCTTACTGTTGGCGTTCACGGTTCTTTGAAGGGTTCACGGCCCTTTGAAGGGTTTACGGTCATTAAATGGTTCACGGTCGTGAACCCGTTTACGGCCGTGAAAACTGTTCCAACCGTGAAACCCTTTTTCAAACCGTGAACTCAAATATTTGGTCATGAACACTATTTTTACAACACTTAATCATCAATTAAAGCCTAATTAAATTGTTTAATGAGTAAAACCTTAATTTTAATTGTTTAAATCAATGGTTTTCTCACTTGGCTTGGTTAAGTGCAGATCAAAGAAATGGCTGCTTTGAGGATTGCTGAAAACCACAATGTTGCTGTTTTTCTTATGGATCCACCAGCAGCACACAATGACTTCAAGTCCATGATTTATGGACTGAAGAAGTGTTGCTTGACATATGCTTTTACTGCAAGTCCCATCATTTACCAATAGCTGGTGAAACAATTCCGGAACACTGCTACAGTACTCAAGGAAGATGGTGAAGTTATCTCAGTGGATGCTATTGTGCACGGAAAGAAAGTCTCATTAACCGAGCAAGTCATTCGTGAAGTTCTCCAGATCAATGACCAGCCGGGTTTTCCAACTGAAATTCCAATGAACCAGACCGAAGAAATCGTGGCTCGCATGGGTTATGAGGGTGTATTTCCACCAACTATCAAGAAGTTACTGCCACCCTATTGGAGGTTTTTGGTTCACGTATTTATAAGCTGTATTTCGGTAAGAAGAGCCGGGGCTGACGAGGTCTCGTTGCACAACACAGGAGCAATTGCTGCTTTGGCTGCCGGTTTGGACTTCAATTTTTCAAGATTCATCCTGAATGAAATGGTGGGCAACATTGAAGGGAAAGGCAGAGACAAATTTCTAATGTACCCAAGATTCCTGCAACTAATCTTAAACTTCAAACACCCAGAAATTGAGAAAAACGGAGAAACCCTTGATGTGAAATCCCTTGTCTCAAACACGTTTGGACTTATGAAACAGAACAGAAAAGGGAAGTTTATGTTTAAGGGCTTGTTTCCATTGGTAAAGTTCGGTATGTTTGCTAAAGTTGATAATGCATCAGCAACCGAAAGCTCTTCAGATCATGTGGAGATGGAAGATGATGTGATTTCTGTTTCTGAAAGGGAAGAAGAGCCAGTTGCTCATGTCGCCATAGTTGCCGAAGAACATGTTCAGGTGGTAGATGATGATGATGATGATGAGAATGATGATGTTGAGGAAAGTGATGTTGATAAAGGATTAATGTAGAACATTTTAGAGGGAGATTATGATAAAGACACAAGTTTAGGTGGTGAATTATCTGGATTTAACAATGATGACATTCCATTCAACTTTGAGCATGATGAGTACAACCCAACAACTGAAGATCTTGATTCTTTCTTTGACTTTGTCCATGAAGTTGTTCAACCGGCAACAGAGACAGGGGGAGTTAGTGACGTTCAAGAAGCATTACCTCTTACTTCTTCAAATCAGATGGCCGACATCTCAATTGATATGGAGGCATCATCAAGGATTCCCACCCTTCATGTTGCTATTCCGTCTTCTTTGCCATCTGAAAGTGATCTTGTGATGTCGTTTGCCTCTCAGACTCTATTGAAAAGAAGGCGAGCTGACCTGAGGCCGGGAGTGTATGTTGGAAATCAAGAACCACCAATGCAACCACCTACCACAACTGCTACACCAATCGTTCTGACCCAAGAAGGTCCAAGCACAACGTTTGAGTCTGGGAGCTCTTCAGCTCCTGGAGGTTCTTCCCCTACAAGGCCGGCGCACCACATCGCCTCTGAGAGGCTTGCAAAGGTCTTGACAGAACAAGAAACAACAGGCCTTCCTCCTTGCGGAAAAGGCATATCAATTGAGGAAGGCAACCAAGGGGGAGTGGACCCATCTGTTCAAGAGCTGAAGGAAGAAATGGGTGTGCTAAATCAGAGAATCATTAAGAGAGATATTTTAATTGACAACCTCAAAACTGAAGTCTCTGAGCTTAAAGCAGATAACTCTCTGAAGACAACCCAGATCTCTGATTTACAGACACACCTAGGAGCTCTGACTGCTTGTTACTTCGACCTCAAGGATAAACTGGTTGTGGAATTTGGTGACAAATTCAAATCTTCTGTCGGAGAACCAGGCAGATCTAACCTTACCCAAGCTTCACAACAAGGACCCCCTGTTGATCCTCCCGTTGTCAGAACAACCCGTATTGTTGATCGATTTGAACGTGAGCCAGTTCAAGCTCCACACTTAGTTGCTTTGAAGCGAGCTAAACAAGCTTCATCTTCTAAGAAACAAAGGTGGATGTTCAAAAGGAGTTTCGATCAGAACGTTCGCGGTGATCAACCCTGACTCATCGTTACTGAACTCAAACAGAAAAAATTTGGTACTAAGTACGGTGATCGGTCAGGAATTGTGTCGTGGGGATTTCATGACCGATTGAAACTGTGTCTTGTGAAGTGTAAAAGTTTAAATGTTGAGTATTACAAGGACAAACATGACTTTTGTTCATGGACAAGGGTTGATCTGTCTGAACTTGCCAATGCTCCCTTTTCTAATCCATCCAATGATCCACAAGCAACAGATTTCAAGCATTTTCTGGAAGAGCAAGTGAAGAAGGGCTTTACTGATATGAAGACTGCTAAGTCTTTCATCAAGAGCTTCCCGCATGTACTGGATCCAAAGACTAATGAGCCTTTCAAGACGGTGATGTGGCCTCCCACTAACCAACTGAAACATATTCCTGTTGTGCAGAACTTCCAAGATGGTTCTCTCAAGAGTATGCTTTACTGGGTCTATGATGAAACCACAACTTCTGCTGTCATCAGATTCCCAGAACGTGTATTTCGGATATTTGACAAGAAAGATCTGCTTCAATTTGGAAAATGGGATATACATTATCTGGCTCAACATCAAATCCAGGTTGCTGAAGATATCTTTGAAGCCGCCGCTAAAGATTATACTGCTATGGTTGCTGAGATTATCGAGAAGCAGATGTGGCTTGGGTCAATGGGGAGGTCTGATGTGCTCATCATTGAGAAGGACTGAATCAATGCTAGCCCCAAACCAAGGGGGAGATTTTTAGGTCATATTTATGTGGTTTGGGCTAGGTCACTTATGTATAAGTCTTGGTAGGGTTTGGTTCTTTTAATTTTGTACGTTCATGGTTGTGTAGGTGTTCACGGTTGTGATCATGTTCACGGCCGTGAACCTGGTTTACGTTTGGTCTGTTTCTATATATAGCAGTGTGTCAGGTCTGTCAGACGTGACGTTGTCAGAGTGTTCACGGTGTGTGTGTGCAATCAAGGTGTACCATACGTGTTTGCGACCTAGAAATATAACGTGTGCATTGCTTGATCAATTTCTTCTTCCTCTTGTTCTGTTACTGTTTGATTGATTGATTTTGTTTGATCACTGGTTTGGTTCCTAGATTTGGGACTTACAAGATTACCAAAATACACACACAATGCTCAAGAAAGCTCAAAATGGATTAGGGTTTTCTTGGGAAATGAAAGTGGGTTGGAGGCTGATGAGGGAATGAGCCTTGGGGAGATAATGATGCTTATAAAGGGTCCAAACCATAGTTGTTAACTCGTGACTCGACTCGTGACTCGAAATCCTAAATTTTAACTCGGGACTCGACTCGTAAGAGTCATGACACTAAAAATATATACAAAGAATTATATATAACATCATGTGTCAACAAAATATAAGCCGAATATTTAAGCACATTTACTAATATGTTACAAATTCACTAGTTAGGGTCATACATGTCATAGAGTATCAAAAAATAACTAGTGATTTAGTAACAAAGCAAATGACAAAAAGATTTGGTGTGTTTAAATCATAAAACTAAACTTCAGGGATAAAGTGGTCATCATCATCTTCATCTTTCGGGCACTCATCTCCATAACTTGACCACCATTTAGCTACAATTTAATAGAACAAATGAGTAATAAATAATAATGTAATTATTATATATTTTACTAGGTTATATTTTTCCTAAAAGTTACCAGGTTGCATTTTCTTCTTCATTAACACGGCTGCGAATATCCCAAACATCCTCATGCTCTCATTGAACTTTACAAGTTGTTCATGAATTGTCACCATTGTTGGCCTATTATACATCCTTTCAATGACATCATACAATCCGCATTTGACTTCTTTATTGACATTAAAGTTCTCCCCGAAATGAAGATTGGTTTATAAAATAAAAGAAAGTATGTGTTTAGTCATATATAATAAATGTTAGTGAAATAATAAAAATATATACCTAGGATTAAGAAAATATCCCACTGAATGAAGTGGCCTGTGAAGTTGCATATTCCACCTAAGATCAATCTTGTCCCAAATAGGTTTATATCTTGACTCAACACCATGGAAGTTCACTTTTATTTGTTCTTTTGATCGATCCATAGCTTCATATATATATATATATATATATATATATATATATATATATATATATATATATATCCCATTGTCGGTTTCACATCACCATCCATAAGTCTCAATACCTTATAAATAGGAACCACACAACTCAAATAATATTTTATAGCCTTCCAAAAGTTGACATCAACCAAAGTAATTCTTTCAGCTAATTTCCCTTCATCTTTAGAAGTAAAGGTGGATTCGGCCAATTCATTAGAAGCAAACAATTGTCGCATGCGATGTTTTAACTCTTGAAATCTTTTCAATGTAAGAAAAGAAGTAGCAAATCGTGTTACTCCGACTCGTGTTAATTCTTGACCACCGGTGAACCTTCTAAACATGGATAACAAAACACAATGTCTATAAATATAAACGGTTAATTTTCGTGCTTTATCTAAGGTGTCTTTGAATGTTTTTCCACCTCCTATTTCTTGCAACATCAAGTCAATCAAATGGGCGGAACACGGTGACCAATATAAACGAGGTCTCTCTTGCTCCAACTTTGAACCGGCTAACACATAAGCCGAAGTACTATCAGTGACGACTTGGACCACATTCTCCTCCCTAATTTCTTTAACAATTGAATTAAGAATTTCAAATAACTTATTTGCATCTTTAGCAAATGAAGATGTGTCAACTGATTTCACAAATACCGTGCCACTTGGACTATTCACAAGAAAATTTGTGATAGACCTTTGTTTTCCATCCGTCCAACCGTCGGACATAAGAGTGCACCTCGTTTTCTTCCACTCTTCCTTGTACTTATTCAACCCTTTTTCAACACATTCTACCTCTTTCTTTAGGTATGTTACTCTCGCCTCATGATATGAAGGAAGTTTCAATCCTTTCCCATACTCCCCTACGAGTCTCAAAGCTTCTTTCCACAATGGAGACTTCACCAAGTTAAATGGCAACGCTTCACCGTATATAAGTCGACATAAAGCTCGAGTTACGGGCTCTCTATCCTCCAATGCTTGATTCATTGTTTTTTGTTTTCCTTTATTGAAAACCGATTTCACAGTCCCGTTCCCGTCACTCTCAACTTTAAAAACATTCATCATCCATTGCCTTAGACTTGTTTTCCTCAAAATCCCTCAATAATTTTTTGAAAATTTCTTTTGTAGCTTCATCAACCACCGTGCAAACAGAAGCATCTATTTTTGTTCTAGCAAGATGATTCTTCATTCTAAATACTCCTCCAGAAAAAATTTTATTGCAATAATTGCATTGCAATCTAACTCTATTTTTTGGGTCTACTTTAGTACAATGTCCCCAAGTGATATTTGGTTTTGCCTTTTCCTTTTGGCATAATTAAACTCTACAAACCAAAGAACCTGATCAAAGATAATCACATTACTAAACATAATCTGATCAAAAATAAAAATTGCACACAGGTAATATTTAAACAGAGATAACATTGAAGAAAGAAAACGAGAACACATGTAATATTTGAACAGATAAAGAACATAGATAACAATAGGGAAGACAGCAAACGAGAACAGGTCAAGAAAAAGTTTCTGGGAAAGAGTTAGCTTCCTGAACTAACTCACATATGTTTAAAAAAATATATTCCGAAAATACCCATGGGGACTTTTTTTGTCCCAGAAAATTCGAATCTTTGAGATAAAAAAATCGATTCAACAAATTTATTCACATTCAATATCATAATCTTATACAAAAAAAGAGAAAAAGAGAAAAGAAACCTTACCTGTTAAGTGCTGAAGGAGTGAAGGAGAATCGCAGGAAAAGTTAAGAAAAAGAATCGTAAGAAAAGTCAAGAAGAAGAATCGCAAGTAAAGAAGAAGAACTAAAGAAGTCTTAAGAAATGAAGAAGTCTAGGAAAAAAGAAAGAAGAGACAAGAAGTTCAGTTTAAGAAAAGATGAAGCAGACATGAAGTTCAGTTTAAGAAAAAAAGGACAATACCTTTTTACACTTTGACTTTTATCTCCATAAAACCCATCATACAACTGGATAATAGTTTTAACCACCATATAATAACTTTAACCATTGGATAAACGAAAGTAAGCCACAGGTTTCATGACTCGTCCGATTTACGAGCCAACTCGACTCGGTCCGAGTCGGTACTTGAACCAGAAATTTTTTACGAGTCAGACAAAAAACGAGTCACCTTACGAGTTGAACCGTTTTAGGTATCAAATGGCTCGACTCGTACAAGTCAACTCGTGACTCGTACGAGTCAACTCGTGACATGTACAAGTTTAACAACTATGGTCTAAACCCTAAAAATTAGGGTTTGTGGTTCAGGAACGTACGCCCAACGCACGCTATGTACACCCGTTGTACGTGAGATCGGGCCCAAAATTACAAAAATGCCACTATGGGCCATTTTGCAACATTTTTCATACACAAGGGCTAAAATGCAATTAGTCTTCAAACTTAAGGTTAAAATTGAAAATACCTCTTTATCGGAATGTTACAGTAGCTATTGGTCAAAATTGAAATCCTATAATCCAAGGTGTGGTTTAGGAGACTGAACTTAGAATTATGTAGTTATATATAAAATCAGAACCATTAATATTTTGTGATGCATGTTTCAATCCCGGAAGGATAACGGTATCTTCTTTATGAAAATTCTGATATCCGTTTTATCACAAACACGAATCCTAATTTTTTAATTTTTTGCTTTAATAATTACAGTTTATTTGGTATAATGTGGTTTCTGATTCTTTTGTTAGGATCTCTATATCTAAGATCTGTTATAAAGGATGGGAATGTGTACCAAATGTAAACGTAAGGATTTTTGTCTCATCCATACAAACCCAATGGGTGGTTTTGTATGAGGTTTTCGAAATCAAAGGGATTGTCGCCGCACTGTCATCGTCGATGCTGCTTCCGCTAACGACTTGTTTGATTTTGTTTCTTGCATTTAAATTTGTTCATATTCTTCATCTCTCACAAATATGAAATCGAAAAGGTAGCGGGTTGGATTTTATGGTTGAATTTGTTCACTTTAAGGGATGTGTTGGAGATGAAAGAAATTGGAAAAATCAAATTCAAGAATTTGTTGATTGAATTTCATAAAATTTTGACTAAAAGTAAAATGAAAGAGGAAGAGATGGGGATATTGAGAGAGGAAATGGAGATGGAGATAAAAAAAGAAGATGATTATTATACGAAGAAATCTATGACATATTAACCTAGCTAATAAGGGAGATCTCTGCTGACTAAGGTGGTGTTTTTTTTTTAAAAAAAACCTCTTCTTACCACTTATTGCTGCGCGGCGCAACACACGCGCAACACTTTTAATTTCGCAACAGTTTGTTTTTTAAACGACTTTGGGCTCAAAAACCTCTTCCCGTCCTCTGCCCCACACAACATTGGGCTTGACCCTTCTCATCTCTTCTAACCTAATCTAAAAAAAAAGTGGACAAAAGGATCCCATCGCCGCATTCGTTCCTTTCGTTCTCCCCTCTTCTCGTCAAATCGTCAAATCAGAGGCTGTACGCTAGGAATAAAAACGACCAGTCCGCCAGCCGCTCGTCGCCAAACGCCTACCCAGTTGAACCGCTTGTGTCTTTTGCTTCGCCATTGCCATCGTCTTCAACATGTAAGGTTTTTTTTTTTTTTAGTTTCTGATTTGAGAACCGATTTTATGCTTTTGAGATGTTATTTATACATGTTGAAATCAATTTTTGCTGAGCTGTTAAGAATCATTGATAAAATCTTTGTTGAAATCAGAAAGTTATGCATATTAATGTTGATTTCTGATATAATTGTTCTTATAACCGATTTTCTGCTCTAAGTATGTTATTTATGTTTTGTTGAAAATAATTTGTGCTAATTTGTTATCAATGTTTGCTAAAATCTTTGCTGAAATCATAAACTTATATGCAAGTTTATGCTTATTTGCTGATTTTATTGTATAATCTTTGCTTATATGGTTTTTTTTCATGATGCATTGTTGTTGAAATGTCATCAATTTAAGTAATTAATATGTTGAAATATCATTATTCTTTGTTTCTAAAGTATGTATTCCATATTTTTTGTTATTAGCAATGAGAGATAAACATACATGGACCAATGAGCAAATACAATTCTTCTTGCACACTTGTATTGAAGAAGTACAAACTGTGGGTAGAAAATGTTTGAGTTTGCACAAAAATTCATGGAACAAGTTAGGAACAGCCATTAAGGAAAAGTATGGTGTGGATTTGACTCAAAGACAATTGAAAAACGCCTATGACAACCTTAAAGCCAAATACATAGGATGATTATACTTGCAAAACAAAAATGGCAACCTTTACGATCCACAAACAAACACTTTTAACTTAACAAATGAGGAGTGGGAGGACTTTAAAAAGGTATATGTATACACATATTTATATGTATTTTGTTTATATAGTTGCCATTTATTCTTATATTACTTTTGTTACATTGATTGGGTTTAGGGACATCCGAAAGCTGCTTCTTTTAAAACCGTCCCATTATTGTTTCCAAAGCTTTGTGCAGAACTCTTTGATGGAAACAGTGCCTCTGGTAATCTCAGCTATGCCACATCCCAAACACCATCGGGACATGGATAATCTTCTTTCCATTTTGCACCACTACAAATTATGGATGCCCCTTCTATTAACATAGATGAGGATGATTACTTTTCCAATCATACTAGTGAGCCTTTTACTCAGCCACCACCTTCTGCTGCTTCACCTTCTGCTGATTCACCTTCTGTTGATTCACATTCTACTGCTTCACCTTTTGGTAACCCCAAAAAAAGGCTAAACCCTTAACTCCTAGACATCGAGCTCCTAGTGCCTCACCTGATCCACCTTCTTGTGCCTCACCTAAAGCTTATATTACTGCTGATGATTTAGCACTGGAGATGCAAAAAGCTCTACGACATTTGACTTAAGGGCCAACAATTCCCCAATGTTTAGAGAAGCTAGAGTTGCTCGAGTTAGGCCCAGTAGACCCTCTACGATTTGTTGCGTATCACATTTTTGGAGGGACCATGAATATAAGAGAGACATGGGTAAATTTGCCCAATGATCCACAAATATTAAGAGGATGGATCGAGATGACAGCTACAAGTTTAGGAGTTTAAAATGATGAAAAGATTGTTCGTTAAGTTTACATATTTGAGTTGTTTAGGTTTTAATTGCATGTGTTGGAACTATGTGGTTATGTTTTTTGGTTATTTGCTACTTGAATGTTATTTTGTAGTATTTGGTACTTGAATTTTATGTTATTTGGTACTTGAGTTTTATGTTATGTTATTTGGTACTTGAGTTTTATGTTATGTTATTTGGTACTTGAATCTTATGTTATGTTATTATGTTATGTTATTTGGTACTTGAGTTTTATGTTTTGTTATTTGGTACTTAAATCATATGTTATGTTATTTGGTACTTGAGTTTTATTTTATATTATTTGGTACTTGTGTTGATTAATCGGTTCCTAATGGATCACGACAAAAAGATACTTCTCATAATTCTAATGTACTTGTACGCCCGCTACTTTTGGAAGAGGGGTGTCAAATGAGTGTGGGACAACGATTCGGAAATCACGGGACATGAGTTTGCGTTAGAGTTACTTCACCATAATCCTCTACAATGTGTTGAAGTACTACGCATGTCTCGTGAATCATTTGTCCGACTATGTGCTCATTTTAGAGACGCCTTAAAGGATATCAAACATGTATCGGTTGAGGAAAAGATGTCTATGTTTTTTATGATGATCGGTCATAACCAACGTTACGTGATTATCAAGCGAAGATTTCAACACTCAAAGCAAACAATTCATAAGTTTTTTCATGAAGTGTTGGACAAAATGTTTCTTTTCTCACATGGCATTATATTATAGTACCAACTTCTTTTAATCCGAATCCAAAAATTTCGGGACATAATAGGAGGCTACGACGGGTGTTCAAATGAGCAGTTGCTGCACTTGATGACACTTTGATACATGTTGTCCCTACAAAAAAACGAGATTTATATAGAAGTAGGGGAAAAGACGATTGTTACCAAAACGTATTGGCAATATGTGACTTCAACATGATGTTTACGTTTGTTGTGGCCGGTTGGGAAGGGATAGCACATGATT